ATTTTTCTTATATCTGTATTGGTTAAAGCCCTGTCCATGAGTTCTACTTCCTGTTCTTTCTGTTGGGGTGAATTTCTCCATCTCATCATTCTGTCTAGAAAACAAAAGAAGAAAGAAAACAAAACAAAAAACACCAGGAAAAAAAAAAACAAAAAACAACCACAACTAGATCCTGGGTGTGCTTTGGTCTGCTTGTTAAAAGAATGTAGATCCCAAAATAAAAAATAAAATAAAATAAAAATAAAAAAATATATAAATGCATATAAATAACTTAAAAATAATAAAAAAGGAATTGAAAAAATAAGAAAAGAAATGAAAACATAAGAGAAAAAGAAAGAATAAATGTAAAAAGGATGCTAGATCCCATTTCTTCTAGAGCTGAAGCTTTGCAGCACTCTATGACTTGGTGGGAGTGTTGTTTGCGCTGGTCTTCTGGCATAAGAGCCTGCTGTGCTGATTCTTAGACTTTTTTCAGTGGAAATGTGCCTCTAGGGCACAGGCGGGCGGGGCTTGTTGTAAGCGTCTCCAGCCTCCACCAGGTGGCGCTGTTCTGCTCCCCAAAGGGTTTCAGTGCTGATGGGAGGGATGAATATGCCACCACCCTGCTCTTTAGCCCCAGCACCGAAATTTCATGCCACCCCACTTTTCAGTGAGCCCGCACAGGAGAGCATTCAATCACCCTTCTCGTGTCCCTCGTTTCCATCTGAACCCTGCATTCACCCTTCCTGTGACCAAGGTTTTTGATCTCAGGCACACAACTGAGTTTCAAAACTCCAAACTTTGGGGACTCCCATGACATAGACCCACGCTTTTCCTCTGGTGGAAGGTCTTGCCACCCTTTTGCTATTTTCCAGCCAATCCCAAGAAAGCAGTTGAACAACTACACAATGGTTCACAGTTTAGGGCAAAACAGAGCAGAAAACCAGTACCAAGACCTGGTGCTCTCAGCTGGCTTCCCCGCTCCTCTGCCTGGAAATAGTGCAGCACATTGGCGCCACTGTTCTTGCAACTCAGGGGATCCTCAGACCCTGCTGTCACGCCTGGGATTCTGCCCCGCTTTGCCACCTGAGCACCTTTAAGCTAGGCATGTTCCCGATGGCAACAGACTTCTAATTCAGATTTGGTGCTCTTCTGCTTATAATACCTTGCAGTGGCCTCCATAAGCAGGCTCCCTCCCCGCCCCCATACCCACAACTCTATCTCCCCCAGGTCAATTCTCTGCACCTCCTACCTTCCAAAAGGTAGTCGCTTTTCTACCTGTTGATTTGCAGTTTTTGTTCTCTCAGACCTCTGATTGATTTCTTGGGTGTTCAGAATGATTTGATAACTATCTAGCTGTGTTCGAGGGATGAGACAAGCTTAGGGTCCTCCTCCTCCTCCACTATCTTAACTCCTCTGGCCATTTATTCCTAATAATATCTTAATCTGAATTAATATTTGACAGAACTGTCTAGCTAATCACTATTAAAAAATTCTATCTTCCTTTCTTCTGCTGAGCTGTTGGGCCTTGAACCTATTGTGTATGATACTATAGCAAAATGGTAATACCGATACTTTTGTATTTGTTTTTTATATTACCAAGACATTGATGTTTTATAAAAATCTGAGATAAAACAGTCACAGTCATCTACATGTTGTCCTCAGATGTTACACCTGAAAATGGGCCAGAAAGAAAGATTAAGGGTTCTTTATACTTCTGGCTTGCATCTTTCCAAATAGCATGCTTAAGAAAGAAAAGCTCAGGGCGCCTGGGTGGTGCAGTCGGTTAAGGTTCTGACTCTTGTTTTGGGCTCAGGTTGTGATCTCAGGGTGGTGCTATCAAGCCCTGCATTGGGCTTCATGCTCAGCAGGGAGTCTGCTTAAGACTCTCTTCTCCCTCTCCTTCTGCCCATCACCCACCCACCCCCGCTCTCTCTAATAAATAAAATCTTTTTAAAGAAAGAAAATCTTGATTAAAAGAAGTAAAGAGAGGTCAGCCTTATGAGAGTGAATTTGACATTTAAGAGGGCAAAAGGGGGAGGAAAGAGGAAATCTAACCATGGATAAAGAGAAGTTGGGTTTTCAGGGGCCCTGGAATTGGTCCTAGAACCCTCCCTCCCTCTTTTTCCTTTTTGCCTCAGATTTCCCTACTATCCTCTCCGTTTCCCTAAAGTTTCTCCACCTCAGTTCTAAGAAGACTCCATGAGAATTAGAGGCCCAAACTGTAAGAGAAATACAAATGACTAATAGATACAAGAAAAGATGTTTGGAGTTACTAATAACTTGGGAACGGGTAATTAAAACGAGGTATGTTGAAAGAATTTTGAAAGAAGAAAAGGGATAAGGGCGGTAAGAATATTTTTAAAGTGTGCATTTTGTTCATTTAGAAGTTTTCAAGTACCATGTAACTCTGGGCATGATTCAAGGTGTAAATGACTCTGACTTCAGATTTTAAGTACTGAAGTGATACGATACTATATTTGCAGGAATATTTTGGCATTTAGGTGGGGGCAGGGACCAAAACAAAAGAATATTTTGGCATTTTAGGACCTTAAAAATCTATCTTGTGGACTAATCATCTTTTAAAATTTCAATTTGTCTCAGAAACCTCTCCCTTTGCCTCCCATCCCAACCCCAAGAAAGTAATGAAACCTTTCTCTGTACCCATAACACATATTCTCCCACCAGCACATAGGACTGCATTTGTTTACATGTTTATTTCCATCACAAGATTGTAAACAACTCAAGAGCAAAGACCTTTTTTTCTTTATTCAATCTGAAAATTTACTGAGCATGTACTAGGCAGGCATTTTAGAAAATGAGCATACAAAGATGAATAAGACAGTACTCCTGTTCTCAAAGAAATTACAGTTTAGGGGAGAAAACAGGTAATTACAAGATAGTAACAGAGATCAGCATGCACTATATAAAAGAGGAGTATAGAACCCAAAGTGGGAGGTCAGGAAAACTTCCCAGAAATTATGTGTGAGATGTGTTTGAGGGGGGAAAAAACATTTTATTAATTTTATTTGAAGGTCACAAAAAGAACTTCAGACCTGAAGTTCTCCAGCTGCAACTGCTGACCGCAGAGCCATGGCCAGGCGTCATAAACTGGAAGGCTCAAACCAAATGGATCATTTCTGAGTCTGGATATTCGGTGATGCCCACACAGCTCAATGAGTTTCTTCCAGCTGTAAGTCATTATTTACAAAGCACTTATTGGAATATACTAATCATCACTGCCTGTGCAGGCAAGGTTTATCTGAATGTCCTTAAATTGTCCCCCAAAAGAGCCTGAAGACCATGCTTCAACATTTTAACCATAAGTCAGACTTTATCCGACTGTACTCGTATTTTCAGGACAATGATGAAATACAAAGTGGTGTCAGTGAGTAAATGCCAATATGGGGTTGGGGCCAAGGCACTAGTGTTTTAGTTTTGAAGTGTGGTAAAATATGCATACGATTTGCCATCTTTACCATTTTTTTTTTTTTTTGTACAGTAAGCTCTAGGCCCAATGTGGGGCTTGAACTCAAGAGTTGCATGTTCTACTGACTGAGCCAGCCAGGTGCCCCTAAATTCTACTTTCACAGATTAAAGGGAGTTCACTGAAATTCCTCCCTTCTGAAGCCTACATCAGCCATTCTAGGGAAATGCCTCTCTCATTAGGACTCTTTTCTCAGGATCTAGATGTCAGGAAACAATCAAGGTAGACTATGATTTCCATGTCTCCAGGGAGTCATTTACATCTCTCACTGAAACCTAATCCAAAGGAAATTCGCAGCAAAACTGGAAACCTGTAGGCCTTTCCTTGGAATAACCTCCAGTGAACTGCGTCACCCATCTAAGGCAGATTTTCTTCAGCAGTTAAAATGAAGGGATTGATTAAATGGTATCTTAAGGTTCCTTTGGCTTTGATTTTCTACAATAGTAGCATACTGCTACATACAGTTGATTTCATTCTTGCTTATACTTGGGCATTTAAATCAAGAGCTGATATTAACATTTTAGCTTCAAGTATATCCTTTCTAAAAAATATTTCAATGCATATTAAACAACTTGCAGTTATAATGGCCTCCACAAGCATTTCACAGCTTCTTCAGAAATCTGATTACAAAACCTCCTACATTTCAACGGATTTAATTCAATACCAAACCTGAATATCACAAATCATATGTATTCAAATTTAAATATATCTTTAATATTTTGCACCTAAAACAGTGGTGCTGGAAGGAACACTGAAGTAATTTAGTCCAAATGCAATCACCTTAGAATAAAAAAATAGGTCCTGAGAGAACCTATTTCAAGTGACTTGCCTATGGTCACATAACTAGACAGAGAATAAGAACTAAAAGCTGTTTAAAAGCCGGATCTCTCTACTTCCTGTCCAGTGTTCCCATCCCATGTTTGCAAATGTACTATTGTCCAGTCTCATATAACTTGATATCATCTGTCTGGGTAACTGTTTCAAATCAATTATTTAGTACAAAAAGCTAATTACCTAGTCACAATGTTCACCAACTGGGACAAAACTAGATCAACCATTGAAGACAGCCATTCATCTACTTATCTTGGCTGTTTTGACTAACATATTGGGTGAGAACATTAATGAAAGATAACATATGGAATCCTGGAAGAATGTATCTCAATTTAGAAATACTTAAGGAAATTGGCCTATCAAATTTACTGTCATTAGGACAGTAAGAAATTTAATTATATTCTCAAAATTAAATAACCTAGAGGCACCTGGATGGCTCAGTCTGTTAAGTGACTGACTCTTGATTTCAGCTCAGGTCATGATCTAAGGGTTGTGAGATAGAGCCCTGCCATCAGGCTCCACACTTAGCAGGGAATCTGCTTGAGATTCTCTCCCTCTCCCTCTGCCCCTCCCCCTGCTCGTGAGCATGCTCTCTCTCTCTCTCAAATAATCTTTTCTAAAAAATGAAATAACCTAATATTACAATCCTAATTTAGTGTTTTAAATTAACCCCTCTTCACATGTTAATAAAAAAACTTAAGAGTTTAGATTGTAAAAGTTTATTGATATGGTCAAAAAGCAAACAGCCAGACATTTGGTTATCTTTGCTACTACAATGTGTCATTTTGAATAGTATTTTTTAAATGCGTAACAAATATTTAAAACATTACTGGAAAAGTAAATTAAGAGTCTACTTAAGGCACTTCAGATGAAAGCGAATTTCAAAACTTCCACAAAAGTAACTCTAAGTTTAGTAAATCTGCTTTCTACAGATTTTAGCCAGAATGCAACTCTTCTCCTTGCACAAGAAGAATGTGCTCTTAAGGGAGACAAAACAAATACAAAAAAGTGTCATTCTTTCAATGCTCATGGCACATTATGTGAAGCTATACAGATTACATGGCAGTAGTATTACCCTGGTCAGTCTGTACAAATCAGGGCATCTTCATACAAATCTCGTAAGAATCACAGCATAAACTTATTTGGCCTGAGACAATTACAAGAACAGCAGATAAAGAATCCAGAATCACACAATTTATAGGGAAGTAATTAACAAAAAGTGGATCCACTAAAGAGTAAAAGGTCAACTATATGCCCTGACCTGCCAAATCTTGGAACAAAAACAAAAAATCCACATAAAACATTTCTTCTTAGGCAATTATATTCATCTCTTCTGCAAATCTCTATTATATAAGACTTCTAGACCACATGGGAAAGTTATTAGATGGTAAATAGTAGTAGGCAAAGTATTATTTTAATGTAATACTTCTAAGATTTTTTAAAAATTTTTTCACAGTCATTATTATATTTCTATAATAGTGAAATTTCAGGATACTCTTCATAACTATGGGGGAGGTTATGGCTAGATCTAATGATAACCATCAACTTTCATTCTTCACAAAAATTTGGTTAGCATATATGGTTATTTCCACTGACAGAAAAAAAAGACAAAATTCAAATAAAACCTCTTCAAATGTTTACTGTTTCTCCACTTAAAGTGAAAGAATGAAGGCTAAAATAATAGCAAAAACATAACAACTTTCAAGAAACAATTTACTTTCTATTCATAAGCAACAACTCAATATATCAGGATATGCTTTTCCCAATCTAGGGGAGTCCTTTTCCTAAATACAAGGGTTAATGAAATATGTTGTAACTGTAATACAGAAATCGACTTAACTAGATGAACCTATTTTTTTCTTTGGGGTACAAATGAAGTAAGTGACAATCTCTAATTTGTAGAAACAATTTAGACCATTTTTAAGTTACACTGATTTTAGCACTAAGCTACATTTTTATTAGAGAGGGACCTACCTTAAATAAATTAAGGAGACAGAATGAACTTGAAATCTTTCCAAACAAAAGTAGTTAACACCACACTCATGCAGAAATCATAATCCTGTATTTAGGCTTTTTAATGTCTACAGCGACCAAGAAGCATAGCTAGCACTGTATTTCAGTAGGAAACATGAAAGGAGGGGGAGGACTGGCTAATCTTTTCTAAAGGCTAGACGTGTCAGAAGATCACATAGCACATAACGATTTCTCTGACCAAAAGGAAAGATGTACAAAGTATACACATCCATGCAAAGATGGAACAGCTAAGAATGCATTCCTGATGCATCTGTCTGTAATAGGCTTATGTAGGAACACCTGGTCAGGACTTTTTTTCCCCTACCTTTGGATAAGATAATATAAAATCAGATGGCCAATAGTTAACTAAAGCAGTTCTGAACCTTGTTTTAATTAAAATGTAGTTATAAAATTTTTATAATGTACTTAATTCTACTAAATTAACTGTTACATACAGTTCATCAGGAAGGGAAGGTTAAGAGGAGAACTGTATCCAAATACTTCATGATTTCGACAAGAAATTGCTTGTTAAGGCACTACAAATCTTCTTTGGTTAAATGATTAACTATTTAAATCACTTGAAAAAAAGAGGTAATACAAAATACACAAATTTCATTCTTCTTTTCAAACACACACACTCTTTTCATTTTTCAATTTCCATTACTCCAGTGTCTACATATCTCTGGGATCCTTTTTAACTCATCAGAAAGCTGAAACAAAAATATTAAGAATCTATTAGTCTCTGAAAAAACAACAAGCCTTACTTCTAATAAATATCTTGACTTTAGACAAAAGACCATTTGGGTGGATGTATAATAAACTTTTAGTATTAATAACAAAAAGTGATAAACACCAAGATATTAAGATAGTCTTAGGAGAGAAGGAAATAGACATAAACTTGTTAAAAAATCTCATGAAGAGAGACACTGATTAATAATTCGATCAACCATGGTGATGAAATAAGCAATAGAAATCCCAGCAAGATTACCCTTGCATCCCAGTTAATATTCTATAGAGGAGAAATTATTTTAAAATATAAATACACAGAAGAATAAATCAAGAATCAAAGTTCTGGTAGGTTTTGTTCTTAAATTAATTTACATTTGCCAGCCCAAGTGTCCATCAACTGATGAATGGATAAAGAAGATGTGGCATGCATACACAATAGAATATTATTCAGCCATAAAAAAGAAGGAATTCTTGCCATTTGCAATGACATGGATGAGCCAGAGAGTATTCTGCTAAGTGAAATAAGTCAGTTGGAGAAAGACAAATACCATATGATTTCACTCATATGTGGAATTTAAGAAATAAAACACGCAAAAGGAAAAAAAAAGAGAGGTAGACCAAGAAAAAGACTTAACTATAGAGAACAAACTGAGGGTTACCAGAATGGAGGTGAGTGGGGGGATGGGTTAAATAGGTGACAGGAATTAAGGAGTGTACTTGTGATGAGCACTGGGTATTGTATGGAGGTGTTGAATCACTAAATTGTACACCTGAAACTAGTATTACACCATATGTTAACTAACTAGAATTTAAGTAAAAACTTAAAAAGAAATAAAATTAAGTTTGGAAGAAAAAAATGCAAAAGAAGATTAATTTATGTTGTTCATTGATCAAAAGGCATCCAGGAATGTCACAATATAATGAATCAACCAGGGAGTTGTTCAAAACTGTCTATTCAAGGGACGTCTCCATGGCTCATTTGGTTAAGCGTCCAATTTCGGCTCAGGTCATCATCTCAGGGTTGTGAGATCCAGCCCCGTGTCAGGCTCTGCACTGGGCATGGAGCCTGCTTGAGATTCTCTCTCTCCCTCTGCCCCTCCCGTTGTGTGCACGTTCTCTCTCTCTCTAAATAAGTAAATGAAATGTTTAAAAAACTTATCTACTAAAAATGCATTAAAGGTAATATGAAGAATGAATTTGTCTCTCGAAAATATCACTTGATATAGTTTATCTTTAGTTGTTCACAATCCTTTATACAACAAGACAATGTTGTATTAAAAGACCATGAGGGTGCCTGGGTGGCTCAGTCAGTTAAGCGGCTGCCTTCGGCTCAGGTCATGATCCCAGAGTCCTGGGATCGAGTCCCGCATCGGGCTCCCCGCTCTGCAGGGAGCCTGCTTCTCCCTCTCCCTACTTGTGTTCTCTCTCTACCTCTCTGTCAAATAAATAAATAAAATCTTTAAAAAAAAAAAAAAAAAAAGAACATGAATTATGGTACCTGGCACTCATATTATAAAACTAATTCACAACATCCCCCATTATGTAGGTATATTTCTCAAGGCTATTAACAGAATAAAATCAAGAATTTAGGACCAGGAGAGTAATTTCTTCCCTGAGCCTTAGAGATCTCTATGAACATTTCAAGACACTTAGATCTTCTTAAACACTCTTTCCTATACTCTCTATAAACTGGATTCTAATCAAATGTTCTGTTTATGCCATCTAAAGAGCCCTGAAAAGTAGAGGTGTGAGAAGTTTTAAAAAACATTAAAAAATAATTTGCTCAAGAGAAAGTAGAGTGTGCAGACAAGGTATAAAATATTCTAATCATTAAGTGTTTTTTAGATTTCTAGATTAAATTAGGTGATGTCAGAATGACCCTCAAAGATGTTCGTGAGAAATCACATACTATTGTCCACTATATCATAATTATCTTAAGTTAACTTTTACATGCAACATACCTAAGTTAAAGTCTATGTCTGCTTTAGAAGCTAGAATAGTTTGGAGGTAAAGCAAAAAAAAAAATATTATAAAGCAACATCAACTCTAATCATTGTAAGTATAGGTAATCACTATATAATAGTATAAAATAATCATACCTATATGGATATCCATGATATTTAGATCTGAAAATAGACAGCATCCAACTGAAGAACAATACAACAAGTCCAATACCAGCCACACACATTACTGCAGAAAAACAAAAGTGTAAAATGAGCATGTTAAGTATAATAAAGAACTAGGGCATAAATTTTAGTCACATTTCCAAGAGTGAAAAGCAAGGGACATAATTTAGTGGTAAACCTCAAGTTTCCAAAAATTTTCATGCCCATTCTTAAATCTTTAGGATTCTGCCTTCCCAATTAATTTGACCCATTACAATATAATAGAGTAGTTCCATTTATACACTTGTGCAATTTAATTGTATGAAATAATAAATTCCTTTAAAGTCATCACAGTCAAGAATTTAGTGTTAGAGGGGTGCAAAGGTGGCTCAGCAGGTTAAGCATCTGACTCTTGATTTCAGCACAGGTCATGATCTCAGGATTGTGAGATCGAGCCTCGAGTCAGGCTCCATGCTCAGCAGAGCCTGCTTCTTTCCCTCTCCCTCTGCCCCTCCCTCCACTCATGTGAGCATGCTCATGCTAATAAATCTTTAAACAAAAAAAGAATTTAGTGTTAGAAAATTCTACTACTGACAAGAAAATCACTCACTTATTAAATTTCTTCTAAAGCCTTAAACGTGGCCTTATTGTATTGATACTGTTTTAAAGACATCTAACAACATCATTGTGACACCCTCACTTGAAAGTACTTTTTTCATTTACAGGTAACTACACTGCCTATGTAAGGAACTCATTCAACATGGATTCCTCCTTTGAATAATGAGGTGAAAATAACACGAATCCTAGTTCTAAATTCATAGCTCTCTCCATTAATCTCATATGCTCTGGTTTAGCATAGCAGTTAACAATCTTACCTCTGGATGCTGACCCCACAATGCTCAGCCATGATTCTCATAACTTGAGGCTCTTTAAGTCCTCAGACTAAGACTGGCTAAGAAGCATAGAGGTGGGGATGTGGGAAAGCATGTGTGCTATGGCAGTGGAAGTTCTAAAGAAACATACTTATTGGCCGACTAAAAACAACTTGTAGTCTTGTTATACTTAGGGAACAATTCTTTTTCCTTCTTAAAATTTCACATAATATAATTAGGGGCTAAAATGTAAATGTTAAATATATCTTTTAATGAGTATTAACACATGACCATTGTAGAAGTCTTTCTTATCTAATTAAATACACACATGCACACACCTGTGTGTGTGTATATATAGTATCAGTGTATTTATGTTTGTATTCTACTTTTTTCACATAATATATCTAAAAGTCTTTAGGGCAGTTTCTGGTACATAATAAATGTTTAAGTATTTGTTATTATTATTTGTGATTATTTTAATATATGTCACCAAGATGTTTTATAATTTAAATTCATACTACCAGTGTAGTACCCAGAGGGCCTTTTCCCAATAATGAATACTGAAATAGGCAAGTTTTTAAAAGTCAGGTAATGAAAGGATGTATATTGACTGGATAAAAAAATTGATACATTAGCTCTATTTTTGCAATATGCAAAAATTCATTTCAATTCAGCAAAATAAGAATCCCCAAATTTGAAATCCAATCTCATCATCTTTTTTCAAATGAAAACGTAGACTATACTTAGCTAGGTTAATTCGATGACATTTACCTTTTTAGCCATACAAGGAAAACTCTGACTTAAACGTATTTTATGTAAGTAAAATAAAATTACATTGTTAGCATTTACTTGCAACAAATACCAATGTGTGAATATTTTAATATATAAAAAGTCCATACAAACCAAGAGAAAAAGTACTAAGAATAATAGATAAATGACAAAAGACAAAAAGACTTTTTATAGAAGGGAAAATACAAACAGCTGATAAACATTTAGAAAAATATTCAACTTCATTAATAACCAAAGAAGTACAAATACTGTAACATTTGCCCCTTATCTGATTAGCAAGTACACACACACACTCACTTTTAATGAGCTTAGCTAATGCTGACAAAGTTACTGTGAAACAAGCGTTTTTTTTTTTTTTTTTTTTTTTTAAACAAGCATTCTTAAATACCACTAGTAGGAATCTAAACTATCATAATATCTGAGGAAACAATTTAGCATCATCAGTTTAAAACATCAAGGGGATTAAAAATACTAATACAGAGGACTATACAGTCATTCTACTTTTAGGAATCTACCTTAGGGAATTAACATGAAATGAGAATAAAGCTTAATATACTACAATAGTCACTAAGGAAATATTTATTATAATAGAAGTTAGAAAAAAATCTTAAATGTTTAACAGAATCAGAATGGTTAAATTACAGCATAGGGTACAAATTTAAAATTATGTGTAGGAAAATATTAGTGAATTATTTAACTCCAGTTAAAAGAGGGGGGTACAAGATTCAAAATTTTATACAGTTTTAAATATGTTTTTACAAATGGAAGAAACTATATTAAAACATTAAAATTTTTAGCTTCTCAGTGATGGAATAATGGGTAACTCTCCCCCCAAATGTTTCACACTCTGATTTCCTCCATTTTTTACAATAAGTATATGTTACTTTTAAAATAATAAAGTAGTAAATAATATAACTAAGAGGGGGAAGTGATTAAGAGGATATTTTTTTTCCTGTGTTAAACACAGAACTGTTATATAACATTGTATGTCAACTATAATTCAATAATAAAAAATAAAAATCAAATTAAAAAGGTAGTATTAAGGAGGGCACGTATTGCATGGAGCACTGGGTGTTATGCACAAACAATGAATCATGGAACACTACATCAAAAACTAATGATGTACTGTATGGTGACTAACATAACAACAACAAAAAATATATATATATATTCTAAAAAAAAAAAGGTAGAATTGTTACATTTTGGCATAATATATAACTTACTTTTTCGCTTTCCAATATCCATGTCAGATGTAGCAGCTTCACATAACAGCACCATCCCTAAGGTAACCCCACCATCTTAGAAAAATTGTTTAAGGAGAAATTCATACAGACACAAAAGACATACCACTTTAATATTCCTACTCTTTCATGAAGAAAATTACAATGAATATATAAATCTCCAACTTTCAATTTAAAAAAAACTGTTACTAAAGTAAGGAATGCTTATGAATGTATTAAACTAAACATCACTGGAGGGGCGCCTGGGTGGCTCAGTTGGTTAAGCGTCTGCCTTCGGCTCAGGCCATGATCCCAGGGTCCTGGGATCGAGCACCGCATCGGGCTCCCTGCTCAGCGGGGAGCCTGCTTCTCCCCCTCCCTCTGTCTGCTGCTTCCCCTGCTTGTACTCTCTCTCTGTCAAACCTCTCTCTCTGTCAAATAAATAAATATTTTTTAAAAATAAATAAATAAAAATAAACGTCACTGGATTGTTCTCTTTAAAATACTTAATTTTATGTTAGGTGAATTTCACTTTAATAAAAAAGATGGGTGATTAAAAATATAAAATAAAATAGGGAATCTTGTATCTATGCAGCATGACAATTATTTACTATGAAGGTATAATAAAAATATTAAAGTTGGAAAATTACTTCATCTGTACAAATGAAAATCAGTATCTTAAACAAATGTCCACCCCACTATAACTTACAGATGAAGTATGAGTTTTCCTGACATGTATTTTGAAATAACCTTCCTGGACATGCTTGCAACTATTGCTCCAACCTTGTATATATTTTATTTTGTTTTGTTTTTTGGGGGCTTGAACTCACAACCCTGAGATCAAGACCTGAGCTGAGATCAAGAGTCGGATGCTTAACCGACTGAGCCACCCAGGTGCTCTGATATATTTTAAGACATTAAATAGCCTTTTTGCATATTTAACCACCCTCCAAAAATGAATACACTTGAACTGTGCACCATTTGAAGAGAACAGCAACTCATTCTTATTTGAAAAATAACTTCTCAAAAATTCTCCAGAATTTCAACAATCAACCTCTAAAGCGCAAATTACTACTCAACTACCTAAGTTTGTCCTATTCTAATAAAAAAAGAGAATCCTATATGTCATCACCTCACTTTTATTCACCTTACTATGGAAACTACATAAATACAAAAATATACCTACTCATGCAAATAGGATACACGTGGCATGGTTGAATGCTAAAATAAGCAAAGTTGAATTTTAAAGCAAATACCATATGTTCTAGTAGAAAAGAGGGGCACCTGGGTGGCTCAGTCATTAAGCGTCTGCCTTCTGCTCAGGTCATGATCACAGGGTCCTGGGATCGAGCCCCACATCGGGCTCCCTGCTTGGCAGGAAGCCTGCTTCTCCTTCTCCCACTCCCCCTGCTTGTGTTCCCTCTCTCGCTATGTCTCTATCTGTCAAATAAATAAATAAAATCTTTAAAAAAAAGAGATTTACCCTGCAGTTTGGTAAATATAAACAACAGTTAAAAATGCCCAAATCAATTATGCATACACACATGCACATTGTAGGCTACCACACGTGGGTATGATTAAGCAGAAAGGGAAAAACAGGTGTTCGGATAAGGCCTGAATTTATAATTGGCCCTATAGTTTGTCTATTCATCCCTTCACTACCATCTTGTACTGTTGTCAATAGCCTCTTTTTAGGGATGATGCCCATTCATCATGCTTTTAGTTGCTTAGACAAGTTGTTTTCTCCAATGACAACTTTTTCTAACCGAGGTTCTTTATATCCAGATACATGTAAAGATTGATCATTTCTATAGGCTTTTGTTACAGGGTACTTTTTAAAAAGATTTTATTTAGTTATTTGAGGGAGAGATAACGAGAGCATGAGCAGGGGTGGGAGAGAGGGAGAAGCAGGCTCCCTACTCAGCAGGGAGCCCAATGTGGGGCTTGATCAGAGGACCAGGAAATCATGACCTGAACTGAAGGCAGATGATTAACCGACTGAGCCACCCAAGTGTCCCACCAAATTATTTTTATATCCAAGTAAACATGCTTTGCAACATTCAACAATAGAAGAATAATTGAATTATGATATACCCATTATATAAACATTAAGAATGATCACTATTTTTCCTTTTCCTTGCCCGTATTTTCTTATTTATCTGTAAATCTCATGCAACTTTTGTAACTATAAAGGTCATACAACCATATAGAAAATGCTTATGTTAGGAAACCAAACTGCACACAATGTCTGTAACTACAAAAAAAGGAGCTTCCCCCAAAAAAGACACAACTAAGCAAAGAATGCAAGAGGATATGCAAAAATAAACCTAGATTTTAATATTAGGGTTTCAGAACATGGGTGAAAATTTTCTAATCTACTGTTTTATTTTTTTAATTTAAATATATTTAAAGTATAATTCCATCTGTGTAAAGTTAAAAAATAAGTAAAACTAATCCATATTGTTAGGAGTCAGGAGAGTAGTTAATTTTGGGTAGGAAGGTAGCAATCAGGAGGGGGTGATGAGATTGGGGATGCTTTGGGATATGAGTGAAGTTTTATTTCATCAACTGGGTGGTTACACAGTTGTGTTCATTTTGTGAAAATTTATCAAACTGTACACTGCACTTATGAATTGTGAACATTTCTGCATGAATATAGTAATTCACATAAAAAGTTTAAAATACAATTTTAAAAGCTGCTTAGTGGACCAAGCAACTCATATAGTTTGCTTTATTAATCATGTATTAAATTATACAATATTAAAATAATGATAAATATGTGGATATTTTCTAAACTCATAACTACTAGTTAGTAGTAGTCTCATTCTATTAGTTCTTATTAAGAGGGTAACTTTTTTTTTTTTAACATAGTAACTTTTGAGTTTTGAGTTTTTAGGCTTTGTGACCACTAAAAAAAAAAAGGATTTTTAGTCTTCCCTAAAGTTTCCTACCCCTAACAAAGTTAAATAGCTTTATTCATTGTCTCACACCTAGTGATACACAGCATTTAGGGCCTTTCTTATAACCTGTAAACCTTTGTTTATCCCAATACTATAAACTCCTTAGACAAATCATACATTCACAGCAACTAGCAAAATAATTGCTCAGAAAGTATCACCCAAATCTTCCTAACCACTACCAAAAAAGCAAAAACAAAATAAGGGAAAAAATATCACCCTGAAAAAAATTCCCATTTTGTATCCAATTAACCAAATTTACAAGATATGCTTTATTTCCAAAAATAAACTACCGGGACTTCATCAAGAAAAAAAGCTTCTGCACAGTGAAAGAAACAATCAACAAAATTAAAAGGCAACCTACGGGGGTGGCTGGGTGGCTCAGTCAGTTAAACATCCAACTCTTGATTTCTGTTCAGGTCATGATCTCAAAGTTGTGGGATCAAGCCCCACATCAGGCTCTGCACTCAGCAGGGAGTCTGCTTGTCTTCCTCTTTCTCTCTCTTTGTCTCTCCCTCTCTCCCCCTCCCTCCCCTTCACTCATACTCTCTCTCTAAAAATAAATAAATAACTCTTTTTTAAAAAAGGGCAACTTATGGAGTGGAGAAGATACTTGCAAATGACATATCTGATAAAGGGTTAGCATCCAAAATATATAAATAACTTATAAAACACAACACCCCCAAAAAAACAGTCCAGTTAAAAAATGGGCAGAAGACATGAACAGACATTTTTCCAAAGAAGACACAGATGGCCAGCAGACATATGAAAAGATGCTCAACATCACTCATCATCAGGGAAATGTACATTAAAACTACAACGAGATATCACCTCACACCAGTCAGAATGGCTACCATTAACAACACGGGAAACAACAGATGTTGGCGAGGATGTGGAGTAAAGGGAACCCTCCTACACTGTTGGTGGGAATGCAAGCTGGTGCAGCCACTCTGGAAAACAGTACGGAGGGTCCTCAAAAAGTTAAAAATAGAACTACCCTACGGTGCAGCAATTGCACTACTAGGTATTTACCCAAAGGATACAAAAATATTTATTCGAAAGGATACATGTACCCCAATGTTTATAGCAACAATAGCCAAATTACACAAAGAGCCCAAATGTCCACTGACTAATGAATGAATAAAGAAGCATTAGTATATATACAATGGAATATTATTCAGCCATAAAAAAGAATGAAACCTTGCCATTTGCAATGATGTGGATGGAGCTAAAGACTATTATGCCAAGCAAAATAAGTCAGTCAGAGAAAGACAAATACCATATGATTTCACTCATGTGCAGAATTTAAGAAACAAAAATGGCAGCAGAGGAAGGGAAGAGAGGTAAACCAAGAAACAGACTCTTCACTATAGAGAACAAACTGATGGTTACCAGAGGGGAGGTGGGTGAGGGGATGGGTGAAATAGGTGATGGGGATTAAGCAGGGTACTTGTGATAAGCACTGGGTGTTGTATTTAAGTGTTGAATCACTAAATTCTACACCTGAAACTAAATTTACATTGTATGTTAACTAACTGGAATCTAAATTAAAACTTGGAAAGGAAAAAAATGCTGTATTTCAATAGGCTTGCAATCTGCTCCAAATGTATGTGAAGCCTTAAGTAATGTTTAACCTTTAGGCAGAAAGAAAAAGTAAGAATATTCCAATTTCCTAAACGTTTTACATAATTATATTCACAAAGTTAGGACAAAGCTTAGGAGAGAAGAATTTTGGTAGTCCTCCAGTGTTAAGGAGACCATGATTAAGGTTCAGGTTCTACCAGAAAGAATGACAAGGTTCATACACCAGGCTCTCAGTTGAAAGCCATGGATGGAGAGGATGGAGAAAATGGGAGAAAAACAATCCTGAAGAGACAGTAGCCCAAACATTTTCTAAAATGAATTAAGGGTACTGACCCACAGATTTAGGAAGTCCTGCAATCCAGAAAACAGGAGCAATATAAATAAAAACATATAGATAGATAAATTAAAATGCAGCACCAAGGACTTATTATAAAAAGAGGATACTAAACAGAAGAACAATGTGTGTTTCAGCTACAAACTGGGCTTGGCTGCTTCCATGGATATAATTCTGGGGGGAGGAAAAAAGACAAAATTAAGTATTTATTTATTTATTTATTTATTTTTAAGTATTTAAATACACATTAACTTTTGGTATTCTAATCCTAAAATGGGCTATTTTTGAGCCCTATGAAATTATTAATTCACCTGATGTATATAAGCATTGGGTCTGTGGCATTCATCAATAAACTGGACAAAAATAAACATTATTTCTGTGTTATTTATTATTCATTTGTCTTTTCATTGTACTTATACTATGTTCTCAACAACAGAATATATGAGAAACCTAATATTTCAGTGTACAAGACCATGAGGTACAATAATGTAAACTCCATGAAGACAAAGATTGTTTTTCTTGTTATCACTGTATCTAATAATACTTAGCACAGTGGCTAGAAACAGGAGATGTGCAAGTACTTGAGCATTTCAACTCTATTTAGTTGAAAGCTGACTTTCATTCTTAGCCAGCTTAGTCAGAAGGACTCACCAAATGTGATAAGGATAAAGAACTTTCCACTTTTAAGAGCACGTTTCAGAAATTGAAGCTCATCATCCAAGACAGATTGAAAAGTCAAAACTAAACCTAGTTCCTTCACATCTCGGCAATGGTGTCACAAGATAATAATTATTAAGGTTAACTTTGGTATATAATGGAAAGAAATTCTGAACTTCCCTTACCACATGTCCTGTGTGCGGATTTTTATGAGCATATGGTGGTCCTCTTATATGGTTCCACATCTGACCAGATGTCATAGCAAGCACAAAACACTAGGAAACAAAAATTAAGGAAATACTCATATCATGGTGCAGCTGCTCCTATACTGATCAGATTAATAGGTTTATGAAAAAGCATGTCTGCTCAAGTAATACATGAACAAATTTTTTTAGATGAATAATTTTTGAGTAAGGCTTATATTTCATGAGAATCAATAATACTCCAAAAGGAAACCCCTATTTTAAAACTATAAATAAGCTGAAAGATGTTTAAAAATTGAAAACTGAAGAGCCTTTTATGAGAATATTTTCAAAAGAACTGCATATTTTCTTAGGGGTGACATTCTATCATTTAGGTTGGACAAAAAAGGAGTACAACAAGTTCCTCCAAACTCGGGCCATGCTAATAAGATATTGGAGGAAACAAACTGATTTTAAGGCATGAAATAAAAATATATAAAATCCCTCTCACAGGTAGGAAATAAAACAAAATGCTACCTAACAATACAATATTGTATGCAAACAATTTTTTAAAAAGTTTTGAGGTGGTTTATTTTCTGAGGTTGTTACCCTTCTAGATATATTTATTACATTCTTGTATATTTAAAATGTATATTTAAAAATCATTGTTTTTTACTACTTACCTAAATACAGAATTATTTAAATTATCATAGTTCTTTAAGTAATTCACTATATCCCAAATAGTCTACTGTATCAGTATTTGAGACACTTTTGTCTTGATTTACACAAGACAGTACTCCT